CAATTAAAAAAACTCAGTCATCATAATTACTTGGAACAAAGGCAGTTTTAAGTTATTTCATTTTACTAGTCATTTACTTCCATTGGTAGAATTGACATTCTTGTTTTTTAGTCATCGCTTTAAATCTTTTAAGTGTAACAGGATTTGCCAGGCGATATGTATTTTTCATGGTCAAATTTGGAATTAATATAAAGTGAATTAAATTTGTTAACTTTCTGCTGTGTTTAGTATTGACTTTAGCTATTCTACTTTATTTGGAATACTTTATTAATAAAACAATTTTTCCTATATGCTTAATAATTCTGATGATTTGGTGATCTGCTTATTTTCATTTATAAACTATATATTTAAGATATTTAACAGCACAGACTGAAACATTTGAAATTTCTATTCTTCATGTTCACACTAGATTTTAATGTAAGGGCTCAGAAATGTGAGTAATCATTTGTCAGGGACACATAACTCTTGGAATGCCTACCAATAGGAAGAGAAAAAAATTCCTTACAGTCTAAAATTCTCTGAAGATTATGTGTGCTTTTCACCATTACAAACTTACTCCACTCCCTCTCTCTCTTCCTCTGTTAGCATCGTGATTTTATTTCTGGGTTTAAAAAGGAATATGCAGGAAGATATTACTTAGAGATCAAGAGAGGTGTTAATGAGATAAAAATTACACTGTTTCGCCCTTTTACCTTTTTCCTCTTTTCTCTCCTTGGCATAGAGCACACATACTAGCTTGTTTCTCTCTTTAGCAAGAGACCCATTCCAGGCCTCTCTTCCGGCCTTTCATCCTGTAGTTTGGTTCTCTCATGTCACAGCACTTCTCTTAAACCCTCTACCTAGTATTTTGGTTTTCTTCCAGAGTTCATAGTCTCTACCTTGTTCTCATCCCTTCAGTTCATCATAAAGGGCATTTCTGAGTTATCAGTGGGAGCTTAGCTTATGTATGGGGTGTGTATTACCGTAATTATTCATCATAAAATTTGGGATGTCAGGGATATGCATTTGTACTAATTGCTGCAGGCTGAAGAAAGTGGCCAGGAAGTGCAGATACTTAGTACTGCTTTTCTATACTTGGATATACAGCTTCTTTTCTTCTCTTTCTTCTGCCTTCTTTGGTTAACAATCAACCTTCAATGACTTCATCCTTTACTCATATAATCACTTAGTTAATTTAGCCCAATGGACAGTGTTGGCGTATTAGTGATGACTGGAGCGGTATGACATAAAATCCCAGATTCTTTAAGTTTGAGGTAACTTAGAAGTACCGTAGTTAAGTCTCTCAAACTAAGGTAGGGTTTTATAACTTGACAGATGGCCATCTCATTCTCTCTGAAAACTTTCACATTATTCAATTTTCTGAGAGCACTTGTATTTTGAACTATATTCCATAAATTGAAGTGAGATATGTCTCCATATTACTTTATCCATTACACAACTTCTGTTATGACATTCTCCAGAATAATTTTAACTGTCATGGGGAATCATTTTAAGTTTTGAATTCAGCTCATGTGAATTTAGGTTAGTCTCATTCTCCTAATTTTTTTTTTCATTTAATACAGTTATGGTAAGGTTCAACAGTGAGTATCAAAATAAGAGTAACTTAATAAGTTAGGAAGTGATTTCCCTCCCGTGTAAAAGTTGGTTAAGTCATGTTATGGGTTGCTTTGCTTCACAAAGATTTAGGACTCAAGGCTTCTAGCTTATTGTTTTTCTGTGATAGCCTCCATTCCCAAGTTTTCCTCATGGTCCAAAATGGCTTTTCCCCCTTTAGCCATCATGTTCATGTTCTAGCTAGCAGGTAAGAGAGAAGGATGGAGAAGAAATGAGAGAAGACCATGCACCAGCTGCGTTTTAAGGAAAGATTTTAGCAAGTGCCTCAAGAAACTGCATTATATATTATTGACCTGAAGAATCAGGTCATGTACAGGAATATTTATTTCAGGCAGTCAAATGCGCAGTTAAAATGTGTTCTATTACTGTGGGAAAAGACCAGAATAATTTTTGGAAAACAATTAGCATTCTCAAACATTTAGGGTTTCTAGACTCATAAGTATTCTGGTTGCCCTTTTATAGGTGAATTTAGGTTTTAATTGCCTATAGTCCAACTAATGAACACAGTAATCTAGGCTGAATACAGTGGAAATTTACATGCCTTGATTTTCAACACAGCCTAAGATAGTAGCTCTTTTGGAATCAACATCTTCACCATGAGTTACAGTTAAGGGTAAGTAAAAAGCTGTTCTCTGCCACTCTGGCTTCCCAATTTTGTGATATGCAGGACGTCCAGGATGCTTTCAGGTCACTTAACAAATTTTCAAATATTCTCTGAAAGCACTGGAGTTGATTCTCCTAAGATTCCGTGAGAAACTAATGAAGGAATATGCTTTTTATTTTCTTCCTAATTGGTTTCTTTAAGGTGGATATTTGACCACTGTCATAATTATAATTACCTGCTATGTTATAGTTACTGTGTTAAGCACTTTATACACGTTATAACTTTTACTACTTTCAACAATCCTGTAAGGAAGGTATTTTTGTGTCTTTGTTAGAGATGTGCATACTTATGTCGAGATTTAAGAAACCTACCCCAAATCTCAAAAGAGGTAGCTGAGTTCGGATTCAAATTCAACTCAAAATCTGTGTTTTTAATCACTATGCTGTATTGATTTTAATCTTCTGTCCTCTTCTCCTAAAATAAACATTGGTTAAAAAAAGAGAAATAGAGTTTTCCATTAAAGATAAATATATATTTTTACTTGAAACATTACCCTACTGCCTACATACACACACCACACACACATACATGTACAAACACATTATGTGTCATGGCAGTATAAAATATTATCTTTATGGGTGTATGAATTATTGTTAAAGCTGGCTTTTGGATATGTTTATAAGGCAAGATTTATAAGTTTCAGAGATGAAAACTTTTAGAACTTCAGTTATTACCCATGGATTTTTGGGCTTTGTGAAAATATACAGTACAGAAAATTTCTGCAAGTCCAGCAGAAATCAACTTTATGGGGATAGACTGGGTGGAAAAATTAGTGGAGAATATAAAGCCACTGCAGACTCCTTGGATTACTAGTGGATTCGAAAATGAACAGGTATTGGCATGAACAGTAGCTTGACTGCTTATTATACTTTACTCTCTTCTCTGGTCACATTACATGATGTAACCGGATGAATCAGAAATTGGATCTGTACGGGGAGATGTGGGTGACCACAATTCCCTGCTAGTCACTGCTTCTACGGATGAGATATTCCAGCATTCCCTGGAATCATTCTGGAAATCAACCAAAACTTAAGATTTGTTAGGGAAGTTTGCTAAAATGCTTACAAATAGAGCATAGAGTGCTGATCCAAGGCCTGTTCCAGACTTCTACTCCTGACCTCCAAGTAACCTTGTGGATTGAAGCCCTTTGTCTTACACTGTCCTCACTTCAAAAATGTACCGTTATCTCCAAGATGTTAGTGTTTTTTCTCAGGGGCATCACTATCTTGGAATCTACTGTCTGTAAGCCTCTAAGGCCTGGTCTTCATCCACGTTGTCTGTTTTATGTAGGCCTGCATTTATGAAACAGAACTGATCCAGTTGGTGGGATTTACTCATGAATGAGAGATGGGACTCATATGTCCACTCTCTATTCTTTCAGTGCATGGTGGTTTAAAACATTTTGGTTTTATTAGATATAGCAGTTTTTGACTTAGCCACAAAGTAATTTTCTCTTAGTGTAGATTTTGGGCCACTAGCATCAGAATCACCCAAGGTGCAGATTAAAAAGGTAGGATCTTAGGGACCACTCAAAACTTCTGGAATCAGAATGTCTGGAAGTAATGCTCAAGAATCTGCATTTTAAATAATTTCCCAGGTGATTCAATGCTCACTAAAGTTTGTTAACTGCTACCAAGTGTTTGACAGAAGGTGTTTGACATAAGATGCTTCTAATTGAATTTTTTCCTTCTTATTTTTATGAATTCTTTCCCTTTCTCCTTATCTCTGTCTTCTCTCTTTCCAAACATAACAGAAATTTTTGGAATAATCTGTGACCCATAGCGAATTTCAAGTTCTATTCTACAGGTCTCTTTTGACGTTCAATACATATTGGATCTGGAACTGATCATGTACGTTGGGGATCCTTAAATGATTTGAGACTCAGGGCACTGCCAGTTTTCTCCTGGCCCAAAGGAGCTTCCCTTTCAGTCTTTGACATCACCATTTCCTTCCTCTCAGATATTAAAAAATAAATACCATGTCTTTGGTTTACATGGTGGCTTTAATACTTGCCCAGTTACAGGGTACATGGCAGGCATAACGTTCTAAAAATATGTATTACCACAAAATATAACAAGCTTAAGATAATTAAATGGACAATACTTTATATTAAATACTATCTGCTTTGGTGAAGAACCCAATTCTTAGATTACAACAGAAAGCTTTATTGTGGTTTGAGGTTCAAAGGTGAGGAAGAGGGGAAAATGCAGTGGTTGTCAATAAATTTCTGTTAAGGTGCATCAGTGTTACTTAGGAAAGAAGAAAGATTCAGGAAGGTATTCATACCTTTTCACAGTGCTCTGTCACGGCATGGACACACTGATTTCTATGCCTAGGTCTAACAAAAATAGTTGTGGTACATTGACTGCATCTGACATAATACAGTCGTTGTTTCCATGTGATGGTTGCCATAAATATTGGCCTTCACAATCAGTATATCACATTTCCCAGGCTGTGATCATTGGCTTCGAGTGAGTATATGATCAAAGTTGGTACAATCAGAGTGAATCTAGAGCTTTCTGGGACCTATTGGAAAAGTGGCTCCCTTTTTCTGTTTTTTCTATGAAGATGTGAGATGGTGATTGCTATGGCTATCTTGTCTCCACAAGGTGAGTTGGATAATGCAGCCACCCTAGAGAAGGCAAGGCAAAAGATGGAGAGAAAGAAACCAGTTTGGGGTGACATTATTTAAACCCCTGAATCAAAAATTACTTGAAGGTAAGTGTTTGCCTGACATTTCCAGTTATATGAGCCAATACATTCCCTTTTATTGTTTAAGCCAGGTTGTTTTTTAGTGTGTATGTTTTCTTCACTGGCTGCTGAAGGAGTCCTAACTTACTTATCATCTAACAATGCTCATCACACTTCATTGTTATTGCTTATGTAAGATCTGACTTCCTTGCTAGACTATAACCTCCATTACCTTCCATTACATTCTATGATCTATTTTGAGCTAATTTTTGAGAAGGATATAAGGCCTGTGTCTAGATTCATACTTTGCATGTGGATGTCCAGTTGTTCCTGCGCCATTTGTTGAAGAACCTGTCTTTGCTTCACTGTATTGCCTTTGCTCCTTTGTCAAAGATCAGTTGACTGTATTAATGCGGGTCTAATTCTGGGCTGTCTACTCTGTTCCATTGATCTATTTGTCTATTCTTTCACCAATACCATACTGTCTTGATTATAGTAGCTTTATAATATGTCTTGAAGTCAGAAAGTGTTATTACTCAACTTTATTCTCCTTCTTCAATATTGTACTGGATATTTTGGGTCTTTTGCCTCTCCATATAAATGTTAGATCAATTTGTTGATATCCACAAAATAACTTACTGGGAATTTGATTGGGATTGCATTGAATCTATAGATCAAGTTTGGAAGAATTGACATCTTGACAATATTGAGTCTTCTTATTCATGAATGTGGAATATTTCTCCATTTATTTAGTTCTTCTTTGAATTACATTCATCAGACTTCTGTAGTTTTCTACATATATATCATGTACATATTTTGTTAGATTTATGCATAAGTATTTCATTTTGGGGGGTGCTAATGTAAATGGGATATTTTTATTTCAAATTCCACTTGTTTATTGCTAATATGTAGGAAAGTGATAGACTTCAGTATATTAATCTTGTATCCTGCAATCTTGCTATAATCGCTTATTACTTCCAGGGGTTTTAGTTGATCCTTTTGGGTTTTCTAGACAGATGATCATGTTACCTGCTAACAAATACAGTTTTATTTTTTCCTTCCCAAGGTGTACACGTTTTACTTCTTTTTCTGGTCTTATTGCATTAGTTATAACTTCCAGTTCAGTGTTAAAAAGGATTGGTGAAAGTTTCCTTCTATTCCTAGTTTACTGAGAGTTTTTTTTTTATCACAAATGAATGTTAGATTTTGTCAAATGCTTTTTTAAATTTTTTAATCTAATGGTATGTTCATGTAATTTTTCTTTGTTAGCCTACTGACGTGATTAATTAAATTAATTTATTTTCAAATGTTGAACCAACCTTGCATACCTGAAACAACTCCCAGTTAATGTGGTGTATAGTTCTTTTTATCCATTGTTGGATTTGATTTGCTAATGTTTTGTTGAGGTTTTTTGCAGTTATATTCATGAGAGTTACTGATGTATAGTTTTATTTTCTTGTAATGTCTTTGGCTAGTTTTGGTACTAGCGTAATGCTGGAATTGTAGAATTAGTTCAAAAGTATTCCTTTTGCTTCCATTCTCTGAAAGAGATTGTAGATAATTGATGTAATTTCTCTTTTAAATATTTGGAAGAATTCACCAGTGAACCCATCTTGTTCTGGTGCTTTCTGTTTTGGAAAGTTATTAATTACTGATTCAATTTATTTCACAGATATTGGCCTATTCATATTGTTTATTTCTTTTTGTGTGAATTTGGGCAGCTTGTGTCTTTTAAGGAATTTGTCCATTTCATCTAGGTTATCAAATTTGTGGGCATAGTGTTCTTCACTGTACTCCTTTTTATCCTTTTAATGTGCATGGAATCTGTAGTGATGTCCCCTCTTTGATTTCTGATATTAGTAGTTTTCCTCCTCTCTCTCTCTCTCTCATTTTTTTTTTTTTTTTTTGTCTAAGTTAGCCTGGTTAGTGGCTTATCAACTTTGTTGATTAAAAAAAACAAACAAACAGGACTTCCCTGGTGGCGCAGTGGTTGAGAGTCCGCCTGCCGATGCAGGGGACACGGGTTCATGCCCCGGTCCTGGAGGATCCCACATGCTGCGGAGCGGCTGGTCCCGTGAGCCATGGCCACTGATCCTGCGCGTCCGGAGCCTGTGCTCTGCAACGGGAGAGACCACAACAGTGAGAGGCCCGCATACCGCAAACAAACAAACAAACAAAAAAACACCAGCATTTGGTATTGTAGATTTTCTCTATTGATTTCCTTTTTTCAATTTATTGATTCTGCTCTAATTCTTTCCTTTCTTCTGCTTATTTTAATTTAATCAGCTCTTCTTTTTCCAGTTTCTTTAAGGAAAAACTTAAAATATTGATTTTATATCTTTCTTCATTTCTAATATAGGAATTCAATGCTATAACTTCCCACTGAACACTTTTTTTTGCTGCAAACCACAAATTTTGAAAAGTCGTACTTTCATTTTCTTTTAGTTAAAAATATTTTAAATTTCTCTTATGATTTCTTCCTTGACCCATATGTTACTTAAAAGTGCACTGTTTAATCTGCATGTATTTTGGGCTTTTCTGCTCATCTTTCTGTTGTTGATTTCTAATTTAATACCATTATTATCTATGAGTACATAGTGTATGATTTCTATTTTGTTAATTTGTTAATGTGTGGCTTATGGCCCAGAATGTAGTCTATCTTGGTGAATGTTCCATGTGAACTTGAGAAGAATGTATTTTCTGCGGTTGTTCAATGAAGTAATCTATAGATGTTAATTATATCCATTTGATTGATGGTTTGTTGTGTTCAACTATGTCCTTACGCATTTTCTGCCTTCTGGATCTGTCCATTTCTGATAGAGATGTGTTGAAATCTCCATTTATTATAGTGGATTCATCTATTTCTCCTTGTAGTTCTATTAGTTTTTGCCTCATTTAGTTTCCTGCTCTGTTTTTTGGACTCAACCATATTAAAGATTGTTATGTCTTCTTGGAGAATTGACCCTTTTATCATTATGTAATGTCCTTCTTTATCCCTGATAACTTACCTTGCTTTGTAGTCTGCTCTGACACTTACTTTTTAGAGCCTGTCTAAAAATGGAAAATTATTGCCTCTAGGCGTTATTGTGAGATTTACTGGGCTGATGAAAATAGAGCACTTAAACAGTGACTAATGTGTTATAAACATGCAATAAATGCTCACCATTATTATCAATAAATTGCTTATTACAGTGCGGGTACTCAAGAATTGCTGTTACCTTATATTTTAACTCACAGAAACATTTTCATAAAATCCTTTAATTCATTAATTTCTTAGGTGAGTTATGATAGTGACTTAGTCAAAGATCATAGTGAAGGAGGGGTCAGATTCTATACAGACTTTGAAGTTATAACTGATTTATTATGAGGTATGGGAGGAGCCAAGGATGCCTCCAAACTTTTATAATTTGAGTACCAGAGTGAATGATACTGCGTTTTCCGAGTTGAAGAACACAAAGTAGATGGGATTTTTTTCAGAGGAAACCAGAAGTTCTCTTTTGATCATTTAAATTTCAGAAATCCATTAACTAGTAAACTGGGTACAATAAGGGTGAGTGTGTAATTGATCATTTCAACCATGACACTTTGAGAGTGAAAGGGACTACTAACTGCTGGGAATCTAAGACAATGGGCATAAACTTGAACTGTCCCAGGGGTGAGTGGTCACCTTGGATATAGAAATCTAGAATTTAATGGGAAGAGTAAGCCTAGAGATATGTGTGGAAGTCAACAGGGTACAGCAAGTGTTTAGCAATAGGACCAATGAGATCATGTAGGTAGTGAGTATATATAAAGATGGCAAGAGGTGAGAAGATCAAGAACTGAACTCTGGCTGGTTGAGAATAAATTTATAACAAAGAAATAAGGACTATTGTGAAAGAGATCTGAGACACAGAATACCATGTTACATAAGATTAGCAAATGGTGAAATTAAATCTAGAGTAAAGACCTGTCCTTTTACTTAGGTTACTTACATTACTGTAGGTGAGAAACAAGAACAGCACTTTTGGTAAAAACGTACATACTTGGTAAAAAAATCAAATACCACTATATGATACAAATCAACACAAATCAGAATCCTCCTTCTGTACTACTTCATATGATATAGGCTTGCTCTGAAAGGGCAATTATTTTGAACTTTTTCTCTGCCCTTTATATTTCTAAATATTAGGTGTAATGTGAATATAATAGCACCTACCTCATAGGAATGTTTAGGAGATTAAATACAGCAATACATGTAAACTGTAAGGACTAAATTTGTTAGCTGTTATTGTTACTTTTTTGTTTTCAATTTACGTTTATGGAAGAAAAGGCTAAGTAAAGTGGTTACTCTGCTTAGTTTCTGTTGATACTAGAGAAAAATACTCTTGACACATATTTGCCGTAAAGACAAAAACTTTCAACATCATAAGGATTTGATCGCTTGGCAAATGGACTGGATAACACTTACTTCTCAGTGGGATCTTAATAATAGTTAAATAATAATAGCAGTTGAAGAAAATGTTATGAGGCTGCCTTCAAGCAGCCTCATAACTGCTAAACTGTTAAAAAGTTAACCCTTATTTGTTAGGTTTAACAAAATGTGCAGCTGGAAAACTCCACTGTTCTTACTAAAGGAAATCAATGGAATATGTTATATATTAAACCACTCGCAAAGGCTGCATATTTGAGAGCTCTAAAAATCAGTTTTGGCATGTACCATGTTTGATTTAGCATGGAAGAATGTTTTCTGGTTCTGGCATTACTTGCTCATTATTCTTCTGCATCTCTCTATATAAGTCTATTGAACTGCAAAGAGGAGGTTAAAAAAAAGTAATGTACCATAAACAAGAAGAAAAGACAACCCTCAGAATGGGAGAAAATATTTGCAAATGAAGCAACTGACCAAGGATTAATCTCCAAAATTGACAAGCAGCTCATGCAGCTCAATGTCAAAAAAACAAACAACCCAATCCAAAAATGGGCAGAAGACCTAAATAGAGATTTCTCCAAAGAAGATATACAGATCGCCAAGAAGCACATGAAAGGATGCTCAACATCACTAATCATTAGACAAATGCAAATCAAAACTACAGTGAGGTATCACCTCACACCAGTCAGAATGGCCATCATCAAAAAATCTACGAAGAATAAATGCTGGAGAGGGTGTGGAGAAAAGGGAACCCTCTTGCACTGTTGGTGGGAATGTAAATTGATACAGCCACTATGGAGAGCAGTGTGGAGGTTCCTTAAAAAACTAAAAATAGAACTACCATAT